TGTATGTGCCTCCAAATCCAGACCTAACAAGCTCTGAAAAATCAGGCTTTCGTTGATTGATAGGGTTAGATTTCGCTCGGTTCTGGTGTACCATATAGACATGGTACAACCTTCGATTGAAAACCCCAGGTTGGGTGGAATTGTTTGATTTCTTATGCCGGTTACACCTCTGCTCAAAGGGATTGGAGGGGATTTTGACTTGTAGGGGATTTAATCCCCCTCCATTCCCTGTCAAGCGAACAAGGCCTTAGATGGGATGGATTGGTGGCATATAAGACCCATTTTTGATTTGGATGATCAAGACTGTGCGGAAATGGAGAGGAAAATTGGGTATAAATAAGTCTTTCAAGTAGTATATCTATATTAGCACTAGCCAGAACTGCTTATCTTTTGTGCACCGCTAGGCAAAACGAGGAGCATCCATCGTCTTTCTAATCCCATGTTCTGAACTTGTGCATTTGTTTTGCGGGGGAGCTCGCAAGAGCACTTTCCTGTATGTGCTTTGCCCGTGTTATTGAATTGCTCGGGACATGACAAATTGAAAGATGAGTAGGAGGTTCTTTGGAGGATGTTATCTGTCTGAGTAAAGACGTGGCCCAACATGGTTCCTTCCTGCTTTATGTGGTTTTATTTTGTGTTGCTTCATGATTTGTAGTCGTAAAAATTTCCATAATGAAATCCATGTTTGCACATGTGTAGAACAAGTTCCTTAGTATACAAGGGTATATGTGGATATTTACGGTTATTGATTAGATATGAACAACATTATATGCTTATATGTAGTTGTAGCAAACTATCCGCCTCTGTTTTGCATATATTCCCCAGCTCATGTTTTTAATCTGATGGCCTTCAATTTGTTATGTCTTGCAGAGAGTTTGTCATCATGCACAGCCCCAGTAAATGGTTGATTACCTCTATGTCCAAACGCCTTGCTGTGTCCAATCTCCAAGGCTGGGCAGACCTCCCAGATGACCTGCTGCACTCAATTGTTGCTCTCTTGGGCTCCTCCCTTGACCTTCTTGCCTTTGCTGCCACCTGCCGCCCTTGGCATGCCGCTTTCTTCTCACACCCATCCAAATCTACCTTGTGCTTCTCATGCCCCCCTGTCCTCATCCGACAAAACCCCATCCAACCTCCTAGCAATGGTCATGCCAAGCCACAAAGATTTAACTTACTTGATCCATCCAACACAGGCACCAACTATCGCTGCCAGATACGTGAAGAAATTCTGCAGAAATTTTATTTTGCTGGTTCTTCCTATGGTCAGCTCATCTTCTTCCGCCACAGACGTTGTCTTGTTGTTGATGCATTTAGTGGTGCAGAAGTTTCACCTCCATGTCTCCCTGAGTTGAACCACAATGTTTTTGAGTCTTACTATTGTACCACTCTGACTGCTCCCCTTGCATCACCCAACTCACGCCTCCTTGTCAGTACAAAATCCTCCCTATTTGACTGGCCAGTTGGAAGTGACTCTTGGTCTGAACTCAAGCTTTCCAATGTGCAAGTACAGCAGATTGTGGAATTAAATGGTCAGTTCATTGCCATGGATGATCATATGAAGATCTACACTTTGCAGTTGGCGCCCCAGCTTGGCCTGCATGACCTACCAATAGAGTGGTGCGGCGGCAAGATCCCAAGCATGGATTCGAAACCATTTCTAGTGGTCTGCCGCGACATGCTTCTGATGGTTTGCTATTCTCTGGTATCCCTATTCCAGGGATCAAGCTTCTGTACACTCCACCGCCTTGACATGTCTACCAATCCAGCAAAATGGGTAGAGATGAAGAAGCTGGACAATTGGGCACTCTTCGTTGCAGCTGACATTAGGATCCCACCATTTTCTTGCGTTAACCCAGAACGGTGGGGAGGGAGGAGCAACTGCTTGTACTACACTCACCACTCTGAACCTTGGGGTATACGATGGTTGGGCAATGAGCCGGATCTTACGAAGGATCCATCCGCCAGTCGGGACCTTTTGTTCGGAAGAAATATGTGGCGTTACCCACAGAGCCTGTGGGTGTACCCCAGCATGTTTTACTCTGATAGGAAGTGATCGTTGTCGTGGGCAACTACAACCTACTGCTGTAGCAGTTTCTTCTGAAAATTCTCCCCTTCTCAACAGGGGCAAATACTTTTGCGGCTTGATACGGGGATGCTGATCAGCATGAGTACTGGAACTATTTGCAGTTATTTTTTTCTTCAGTTTCTTATAAACCTGGTACCAGATATCTATGGCGGTACGAGTGCTTAGAACCTATTCCCAGGCTTCTGCAATTACTTTCATCATTCAGTTTTTAGCCATGCTTATGAAATTGCCATTGCTTTTCCGTGCTGGAACCGACACGGTGTGAGCGTTTTACCCGTTTGAATGAGGTGAAGACATTGCTCATCTTGCAGGATAACGAGTTGGCAACATAGAGCCAGCATTGGATCATCAGGCAGCAGCTTTGCTTCTGCATCAATTTTTCTTGGGTCTGAGAGCTGAATGTTCTGTACGCAGTTATTTCATCTCATGCTTTTGCATCAATTTTTCTTGGGTTTGAGAACTGAAACTTTTTGCAGCTATTCCTTCAGTTTTTATAAGCCTGGTGACAGATATTTATGGTGTTACGTGCTTAGGACCCATTAGGGACACCCGAGCCCGAGCTTATGCAATCAGTTTCATCGTTCAGTTTTTTTTAGCCATGCTTGTGTACTTGGCTGCTATTGCTTTTCGTTTTACCAGTTTGAACAAGGCGAAGAGACTGTCTCTGCATTTGAGCTTTCATCTCTCAGGATAACAAGTGTCATCAGGCACAAGCTTTTCATGTAGATCAATTATAATTGCGTCGTTGGTCATGGGGACACCTGAACCTGCTTGGACTGTCTATTTTATAAATCAATGCCGCTGATAACTTCCACCAGATTCAGTAAACAAAATTGAGTTTTACAATCGTCTGCGATCCCGTTCTTGTTCTGCTTTCCCGCTTTTTTTTGTGCTTGAATGTGTCCCGTAATGGCTGGTTTCCTAAGTAGGGAGTACATACGGACAGCAGCAAACAGTACGTGTGTGCCGTGCTGTGTTGTATACTACACTACGTACTTAAAGTACTTGATTGGTCATTTTCAGACAGTAACTGGCAGGTGAGCAGATACTCGTAGTGCAGTTTTTTCGGTCTGAATTGATGTGGTATTGGTAAACAGATGTGCTCATTGCTTGCTCACTTGCTAGTTGCTCACTGCTCTTCTATGTTTCAGCAATAAGGAGCAGGAATTGACCCAAAATTCCTACCCAGAGTTTTCTCCTTTTGAGATGCGTCATGAGATAGTTTGTTTCCACTTGCTTCTCTGATTTGGTAAAAAATCATAGTTGTTCACGGTTGATGGGAAATAAAATGGTGATTTCCCCCTCCCATGTCTATTTATTTTCTTTTGCTCCTGTTTTCTGCAAACCGGCTCAACTGCACTAAGTCTTATTGGCTTACAAAGAAACGCGTTTTTTTGTCAGTTGGTATAAGTGATTACCAAATAAAACCCCATTAAAATATCATGTCCCCAAGAAAATCATCTAGTTAAAATTTCCTATTGGTCCAGCTCATATTTACGTGTATTTTTTTGCAAAAATGAATAAATTAGTTACCTATATAATCATTTGCTTAGGTTTTTAGTGTGACTCGTATAATTATTTCGCCCAGCTCATTTTCTAAAAACAATTTCTTCCAGCCCATAAAACTTGTCTTCTCGTCCATGTTCAGAATGGGCCATTGGAGCCCATAAGGCGCACAAATAATTCCGAAGGGGCTGCCGTGCAGACTGAAGGACACGAGGGTTGTCTCAAAAAAAAAAAGACACGAGGGGACGGGGAAAAAAGAACCAGCGGCTTGGGTACCCACCCCCGGCGGGACGGCGGCGGCAGCCATCCACCGCACCATCGTTCATGATCTCC